TTTTTAACTATCACTAAAAATTAGTGTTAGTTCAAAATTATTCACTACTTTTATTTATGTTTAGTGATGAATTGAAAAATATAAGCCTCACACAATAATAGTGATATTTAAAATTTTTAACTAAAAATATTTTAAAAATAGTTAAAATATTTGTTTTTACAGCCTACACAGAAAAAACTGAAAACGATTTCAATTACCAAAACCTCGTTTTCAATTATTTTATTTTTTGAAGTTCAACCTATAACAAAAATTGTATATTCAATTACTACTTATAATTGATTTCGTACACAAAATTTTTATTTTTTTCTATTTTTGTTGTTGTTAAATACGTATTTGATTATACATTTTTATGAATCAAATACAAAATGAATTGAACCCTTTTAAAATTTTTGATTAATCGATTAATTGAAAATTTTTTGAAATTAATTTTTCTGTGTAGTGAAATAATTATTAGTTCAAAAAATATTCCTGCACTATTTTTTTTTTTCAACGGAGAAACGTTTCACTCATTTGAAAGTTTAAGTTAATAGGTCAGTCTAGAAATGGTTTAAGTCAACCAAAAACTCATTGGACGAATATTATTAATAAGTAAAACGTTCATTATTTACAAAGGTTCCAAGCTATTGCCTAAAAAACATCCAGTAACCACATCATTTTGGCAACTGGCAACGCAGATGACGTGGCAATCGAGGTACAAAATTAACCAATTAATTTAATTTTCCGAGGAGAGTTCACCAATCCGCTAAAGAAAACATCGTTATACTTGAGCAGAAGAAGGCAAAAGTTTTGTTTCAACCATTTCTTTTTAAAGCATGAGATGTTGTTGGGATAACTGCATATGTAGGGTCTATCATAGTGCCATCGCTAACAAAATCTGTATTTTCCATTTTAATAGATGTACCTTTTAAAAAATTGAATCATTTATTGTCTTACAAATTCTTTCATCTTCATAAAAAAAATAGTGCAAAGAAAATTATTGAAGCCTTTTGTTAGTGACTGTTCAAATTTTTAACTATTTGAGTGTAGTGCTTTTTTCTACACTACCACTCAATTGAGTTATAGTTAAAAAAATAACATTATCACTAAAAAATATTAGTGCTAAAAATATAAGCTTCACTACCACTAAGCTCCTGAAAATTAGTGAAAAATATATTTTTTGAAATAATATTTAGTGCTAGTTAAATATTGATTTAACTAATAATTTAGTGCACTACCCCCATCTCTGTTCTCAATATACGGGAATATTTTATAGATATGACATCGCTACACTAGGTAAATTTTCGGATGGACAATTATTTAGAACAATAAGATATCAAAATATGTATGGGGGTCCGCGAAATTAAATAAGTTCTTCAAGGGGTCCGCGAAGTAAAAATCGGTGGGAACCGCTGAACTAGATGAAATTTTGAAAAACTGAAAAAACCATTTCGGTGAAATTGTATAATATTTAATATGTAATAATTTCTATTATCTACATTAAAAAATTCTATGAAAAAATTTTAAAATCTAAAACTTTTTACGAAAAATTCAAAAATCTTTAATACTATTGCAATCGCACATTAATGTTTGATATGACATTGAAAGCGCCCTTCAAACCCCTTTGATATGATATCAAAATTGCGTATATTTTCTTTGTAAAAAATATGGAAAAAATCGCAAAAAACCTAAAGAAGTAAGAGTGTTATATTCGGCTATGCCGAATCTAATATACACACCATCAAAACGTGCCATAAAAGGAAAGCTCTCCTATAAACATCAAGTTATTATTACTCATCAAATTTACCGAAGAGGACCTTATATGAGAGCTAGGTAAATTTTTTTAGACCGATTTTTGTTCATATAAGACATGTTTACATCGAGTATTAGTTCCCGACACTTTCCGCATGAAATTCGGTAGGAAGATTTACTTCGCTATAAAAGTTTCTTAGGTTTTTTTCACAAGAAACTTACTTACTTCTGGAGGGGACCTTATATGGGACTTTATATTTGCTAGGATTTTGCTCGTAAGAGACCTATGTCAAATTTCAGTATTTTTAAGCCAGAAATGAGCGTTAAAGCCGTTTTTTGAAGCGAACCTTATATGGGGGGTAGGGGCAATTATGGATCGATCTACATAAAATTTCATCGCTATATTCGTATTTTTAAGCCAGTAATGAGCGTTAAAGTCATTTTTTGAAGGGGACCTTATATGGGAGGTAGGTTTAATTGTTGACCGATCCATATAAAATTTGATAGAGCGTTTTGAACTCACATGAAACTTTTGTGTGTCGAATTTCATCGCTATATTCGTATGTATGTTTAAGCCAGTAATGAGCGTTAAAGTCATTTTTGAAGGGGACCTTATTTGGGAGTTAGGGTCAATTATGGACCGATCCACATAAAATTTAATAGAGAGCTTTTAGCTCCTCAGGGAGTTACTTATGTATGTCAAATTTCATTGCTATACTCGTATTTTTAATGGGGGTAGGGTCAGTTATGGACGAATCCACATACAATTTGGTAAAGAAGTTTTGACTCGTCAGAGACTTACTTATGTCAAATTTCATTGATATACTCGTATTTTTAAGCCAGTAATGCGCGTTAAATTAATTTTATTAAGGGGACCATATAAGGGGGGTATGGTAAATTACTGACCGATCCATATAAAATTTAGTAGAGAGATTTTGACTTATGTGTGTCGAATTACATCTTATATATATTCTTATATTAAAGCCAGTAATGAGCGTTATAGTGATTTTCTAAAGAGGACCTTAAATGGGGGATAGAGTCAATTATGCACCGATTCTCATAAAATTTAGTAAGGAAATTTTGGCTCATATGAAACTTATTTATGTCGAATTTCATCGCTATACTCGTACTTTTAAAACAGATATGCCCGTTAAAGCTGTTTTCAGGAGTCCACTTATATGGGGGCTATCCGATAACGTAGACCGATATTGCCCATTTTCAATAACAAACAAGCCTTACCTATCGAGGATATTTGTGGAAAATTTCAACCTTTTGGCACAGTTTAACAATAATAACTTTTTTTAAAAATGGAAATATAGCAATGAAATTCCATATAAGTAAGTTTTATATGATCCAAAATCTCCCTACTAAATTTTATGAGGATTGGCCCATAATTGACCCTACCCTCCCATATAAAGTCCTTTTCAGAAAATTACTTTAACGCCCACTACTGAAAAAATACGTGTATAGCACTAAAATTCGACATAAATAAGTTTCTTATGAGCACAAATCTCTATGCCGAAATTCATGAGGATCGGTTCATAACTGATCCTACTCCCCATATAAGATCCCTTTCAGAAAATGACTTTAACGCTCATTACTGCCTTTAAAGTAAGAGTATAGCGATGAAATTCGACATAAGTAAGTTTCTTACGAGTTAAAAACTCTCTACCGAATTTTATGAGAATCAGTCCATAATTGATCCTACCCCCCATATATGTCCCCCTTCAGAAAATTACTATAAAGCATATTTCTGGCTTAAAAATACTATTATAGCTATGAAATTTGATAAACATAAATAAGTTTCTTACAAGACAAAATCTCTCTACCGGATGTTATGAGGATCGGTTCATAATTGATCCTACATCCCATATAAGGTCCCCTTCAGAAAATTACTTTAACGCATTACTGGCTTAAAAATACGTGTATATCGATGAAATTATAAAATTCGACATAGGCCACATTCATAGGAACGTTAATCTTTTCATTCATCATACCGGCATATAAGGTACCCTTTCGAAAAAACTTTAACGCTTATTACTGGCATTAAAATGCGAGTACAACGATGAAAATCGAGTACTGTGTTGAAATTTGATGAATGAAATAAGTGTTTTACGACAATCGGTCAATAATTTACATACCGCCCATATACATACATATGTTCATGGTTTAAAAATTGGACAAAAATATTTTGCTTTAAAAAAGTGTATTTTGTTATTCCGTCTAACCTTAGGTTTATAGGAGAGCATTCCATTTACGGCATACGGTTTGATGATGGGTATTTAAGATTCGGCATAGCCGAATATAACACACTTACTTGTTATCTTTTGATCCAGCTCACCAAATATTGATGTCAGGACAAAAAAATTGAGAAATGGTATCTTAGAATGAACTAAATTTTAATTTTCGGCGGGATTGTCAGCAACTTACATTTTGAGGCCACCCTAATGTACGTTAGAGTGTCCCGAGGAAAAGCTTTTTTAAGAATTTCATGTAGGAATACGTATCTAACGATGCGAGAAAAATAAAAAATATTTTTTTTGAATGGTCTTCAAAATGGGTCTCAAAAATTCCGTAATTTTCTTCTGATTACGGGAAAATTAATCTTAAAATTTTTGTAGAGTATTTCTGGTCCACAAAATGAGTTTTAGTGGGTTGGAGATGTCCTATTTTTTAGCTTATACTGAAAAATGTTTAAAAAACAGTTTGGCATTTGGTATTGTCTATTTCAGATTTTTTTAGTTTTTTTGAAAATAATATGCCCCTTGTTCCACAATACACTAGGAAAAATTTTAATTATTTTTCGCGCTATAAGCTCAAAATGACGGAATTTTTGGCACTTATTTCGAAAAGATTGCATAAAATTATTTTTGAACAAATTATACTGATATCAAGATTTTCAATCGCAGGTAGGGAACTGAGGACCTTTTATTTTTTTCTCGTATGTAGTACATTAAAACGCATCGTTTGAGAGGTAGTCATCCAAAAAAATGGTACACGGGACACCCGTTGTACCGGGTAGCGAAACACACTGGGTATAGATAGCCGTTCCGTTTTATATGAACTAAACAGCTAAAAAAACATGAAAATCCTTCGAATTGGCGTCAAAAGTTTTTGCAAAACTTGATTTATAAAACATTTTTTTTATAAAATATAAAATATTTGTTAATTTCGCGATTGCAATTAAGAATGGTGTAGACAATATAATATTCAGACTAATAATATTTATGTCTAACATTTATAATACTAATAAATAAATATACACATTTCAGATGCTGAAATACAAGAGTGGTACAAAGGATTCCTTAAAGATTGTCCAAGTGGACATTTGTCGGTTGAAGAGTTCAAAAAAATATATGGAAATTTTTTCCCCTATGGAGATGCTAGTAAGGTAAGAATATATGAAAAATAAAATTGTTTAATATGAATATTCCGGTATGGAATGGAATTCGAGCGATTTGAAAAGGTGTGATGAATTTCGATCGAGGAATGGTTTATTATTTTCTTGCAAAATACTACATTACAATAAATTATTTAAGAGAATCATTTTAAAAAATATGATAAATGTTATGAAAAACTGCTGAAATTTAATATTGAATAACACAAGAAATTGTTTTTGTCGATATCAAATCGATACGATTTTAAAAATTAATTTCATCACATACCTGATTAATTTCTTTACCATAATAAATAAGGCTATTATGTATTTAAAATAATCGAATCAAGTTCCTAATTATAAACTTTCCTATACTATCTTGGTGCTCAGATTAGCATTTTATTGATTTTTATACCCACCATCAAAAATTGTTTTTGTCATTCCGTTTGTAACACATCAAAATATTGGACATAGACCAACAAAAGTGTATATATTCTGGGTCCTTATTAAATTCTAAGACAATTTCGCCATGTTCGTCTGTCTGTTGAAAGAACGATAGAGTTCGAACGAGAAGAGCCAAGGAGTATTTTGCATAAATACTTTTTATTGATGCAGTTTGTTTGGTATTGAAAATGGATCATATCGATCCATGTTTTTGTATAGCCCCCATACAATTGGCCCCCTGAAAAACAGTGTAAACGGTCATAGCTGGTTTAAAAACATTAGTATGTCAATGAAATTCCACGTAAAGAAGTTTTATATGATCCAAAATCTCCGTTCCAAATTTTATGAGAATCGGTCTTTAATTTAATTTTTAAACATTTTTTGAAAAATTTACCTTTTAAATCTATGAAATCCTTTAAAAGGAAAACAAGATCACGAAATGAAAATAAAAAAAAAAAAAAAAAAAAAAAAAAAACGCAGTATTTCTCCATTAAATTTATAGTTTCAGACGTATATCATCCGGTTCGTGTCTAATGATTTTTTCTCTTTTTGTGTATTATGAGCAGTGTTGCCACAACAAATTTTTTTTTGTAACCAAAATTCGAATAAAAAATAACCAAATTAAGAAAAAAGTAAACAAAATTATTTTTATTTGTTTCATGTTTACATTTGGACATTAAAATAACAAATTCATTTTCTGAAGTGGAACTTGTAACTATGTTAAATTTCGTCGCTAAACTGGTATTATGAAGACAGTTATGAGCGTTAAAGTAATTTTCTGTAGGGGATCTTATATGAGACGTATGGTCAATTATGGACCAATTCTCATAAAATCTGACAGAGATATTTTAGTTTCTTCAAAACTTGATTATATTGAATTTTGTTGCTATATTGCAGTACATTATGAGCTTTAAAGTCATTTTCTGAGGAGACTTTTTATGAGGGATAGAGTCAATTATAGAGATCCTCATAAACTTTGACAAATACATTTCCAAAAAAAATTTTTTATATTGAATTTCATCGCTATACATGCTTTTTTAAGCAATATAGTAATTTTCTGAATAGGGCATAATATGTGGGCTAGGTGAAATTGTGACTGATATTTCGCATTTTCAATACCAAGCAAACTGGGTCAACTAAAAATATTTTGGCAAAATATTTGAGTTTTACATTCATAACTTCAGCAATATTTGTAAACGTAATCGATCCAAATTATCCGACAAATTGACCAAAATTTAGAATTTAAGACGGTAAAATAAAAACAAGTATACAACATCATCTAGAAAATATAAAGAAAGAACTAAAAGTCATGGTGAGATATTTAGTAGAAGTCAAAGGTCATGAGTATCAAATCTTTGCATATATCGCGATTATTGTTCGTCGTACGAGATTAGATATTATTACAACTTTTTTAGACAATAGAATTTAATTTTCCTTAGCTGTGTTACTTAAAAATATCAGTCGATCAATACTTTAAAGATATTGTGATACTATTCTTGCATCAATTAGCAGAAAATACTTAAATTAATTCTTATTAAATCATTTATCTTAGAATTTCGGCAAATTAGCACAGTATCTGTTTATGCAAAATTTCAAATAGGTATAGCAGTTGCAATTATACTTTAAATTAAATTTGGAGGACATAATCTGCTAAGTACGTAGACTATTCCCACCAAATTCCATAAAAATCGAAATGCGAAATACAGCCTACTTCGTTTTTTCATATAAGGGGCATTTCACGTCAAGTGAACCAACTTTTGAAATCGATGTCTTCCAATTTTTCAACAAGATCGCTCGTGAACTTTCTAAGTTAGAGGCGGTCAAAATTTGACATTTTGGCCATGCAGGTGTTTTTTCTCATCCATGTAACTTATTACCTATTGTTCTTAGCAAAATGTGTCCCAAATAGTTTAGATAGCTATTTATGCAATCTTTCGAAAAAAAAATTAAAAAAATTTAATAAAATATTTTTGATTTTTTTTTTTTTTTAAATCAAAAACATTTTTGACTTTTTTTCAAAATGGACCCTTTTTATTTTTTTTTATTTTTTTTAAGAAAGCTTAAGTCTTTTCCTAAGCGACCTATATGGTCGCTTAGTGGGATGCGAGTGGGATATCTATCAAAAAAAATATTTTGTAACTCAAGATTTAAAATTTTTGAATTTTTTTGCAAAATCAAAAACTTTGTTTACTTTTTTTAAAAAAATGGACCCATCTTTTATTTTTTTTTTTGCTCAGAAGAAAGCTTATGTGTTTTCCTTTAACACCCTTTTTGTCGCTTAGTGGGATGCGAGTGGGATATCTATAAAAAAAATGTTTTGTAACTCAAGACATACAATTTTTTTTTTTTTTGAAAAATCAAAAACTTTTTTGACTTTTTTTTCCAAAATGGACTCTTTTTTTATTAATTTTTTTTTCTCAAAAGAAAGCTTAGGTCTTTTCCTTTAAAACCTTTTTGGTCGCTTAGTGGGATGCGAGTGGCATATCTATCAAAAAAAATATTTTGTAACTCAAGATTTAAAATTTTTGAATTTTTTTGCAAAATCAAAAACTTTGTTTACTTTTTTTTAAAAAAATGGACCCATTTTTTAATTTTTTTTTTGCTCAGAAGAAAGCTTATGTGTTTTCCTTTAACACCCTTTTTGTCGCTTAGTGGGATATCTATAAAAAAAATGTTTTGTAACTCAAGACATAAATTTTTTTACTTTTTTTCGAAAAATCAAAAACTTTTTTGACTTTTTTTTTTCCAAAATGGACTCTTTTTTTATTAATTTTTTTTCTCAAAAGAAAGCTTAGGTCTTTTCCTTTAAAACCTTTTTGGTCGCTTAGTGGGATGCGAGTGGGATATCTATCAAAATAAATGTTTTGTAACTCAAGACAAATGTTTTTAAATTGATTTTTTTCATATTTCTGTGTAAGTGTTTCTAAAACCTTAAAAATAAAAACCACAACAACTGACCGATAATAGCCATTGGAGGGGTGCAATATGAGGCCGACCGCTATTAATTTTCCACCCCCAAAATTTGTCTGAGTTTTGTATCTTGCGGCTTTTTAGTCAATCCTAGAGGTAGTTTTCAGCGCACGTGATTTTCATTGTTAAAATATCAGGTGCTGAATCTAATAACGCCAAGAAAGGATTGACAAAAAAAAAGCAGCTAATAAGGTGACAAATAAGGTGGATAAAGTATGGATATTTGAAAATTTAAAAACTTGATCTATTGTGATTAAGATTAAATTTTACTAAAGTTCAGCTGTTTTTTATTAATATTAGTATGGATGAGTATTCTTAGTGATATACTATATTATTATTATTATATGATTATTTTATTATTATTATTATTATTATATTATTCTTATTATTATTATTCTTATTATAATTATTATTATTATTATTATATTATGATTATTATTTTATTATTATTATTATTATTATTATTATTATTATATTATTATTATTATTATTATTTATATTATTATTATTATTATTTATTATTATCTTATTATTATTATTATTATTATATTATTATTAAATTATTTATTACTTATTAATTATAATTAATTCAACATTTCCATAGAAAAAAGTGATTTTTATTCCTGAGGTTAACATATTATGGGTATTACAGTATCGAGGCTATGAAATTTTAGTTGGGTATGTTACATACCATCGGAAAGGCTAATGTGTCTAGTTTCTCTGCGTAAGTTTAATTTTTAAGGTTTACACACAAATATGAAAAAAATTAAAATAGTGCAAATTTAAAAACATTTGTCTTGAGTTACAAAACATTTATTTTGATAGATATCCCACTCGCATCCCACTAAGCGACCAAAAAGGTTTTAAAGGAAAAGACCTAAGCTTTCTTTTGAGAAAAAAAAATTAATAAAAAAAGAGTCCATTTTGGAAAAAAAAAGTCAAAAAGGTTTTTGATTTTTCAAAAAAAAGTAAAAAATTGTATGTCTTGAGTTAAAAGACATTTTTTTTATAAATATCCCACTCGCATCCCACTAAGCGACAAAAAGGGTGTTAAAGGAAAATACATAAGCTTTCTTCTGAGCAAAAAAAAAATTAAAAAATGGGTAAAATTTGTTTTAAAAAGTCAACAAAGTTATTGATTTTGCAAAAAAATTCAAAAATTTTAAATCTTGAGTTACAAAATATTTTTTTTGATAGATATCCCACTCGCATCCCACTAAGCGACCATATAGGTCGCTTAGGAAAAGACTTAAGCTTTCTTAAAAAAAAATAAAAAAAAAAAAAAAAAAGGGCCCATTTTGAAAAAAAAGTCAAAAATGTTTTTGATTTAAAAAAAAAAAAATCAAAAATATTTTATTAAATTTTTTTAATTTTTTTTTCGAAAGATTGCATAAATAGCTATCTAAACTATTTGTGACACATTTTGCTAAGAACAATAGGTAATAAGTTACATGGATGAGAAAAAACACCTGCATGGCCAAAATGTCAAATTTTGACCGCCTCTAACTTAGAAAGTTCACGAGCGATCTTGTTGAAAAATTGTGTCTGAATTACTATCCAATAGAACTAACTATGGTGCAAATTTCATCGCGATCGGAAGA